AGGGATACTGAGCCTTCTTTAATGCTAAGGACCTTCTGGGCAAAAATGTCATAGGGCCCACAGTACTAGTTTCCTCTTCCGAGTAGACTGTAGAAAGTAAAACAGTTTGAAAGTTCTGAGCTACCTCTGTGATAATAGCCATTTGAATTTTCATTTTCATTTATACAAAATACAGATTAACAAACAGCACACACAAAAATACAGTTTTAAATTTCACAAGGTTACTTAAAATCACCTATTTCAGCAAACAAATATGGGGATTCAGTTCCACCATATGGTCACATTGTACTAAGCCCACCACTACGCTACAAGTTTTTTCAATTGCGGTTTTTATCACATTAATTTTGTTAGTTGGGCCTTTGAACATGACTAAGATCTAACCTATGATCAATAGTCTAACAGTGAATATACTTACACAGCTTGGAAAAATTGGCAGGAGATGTTTGGTGGAATAAGGCTCAACTGATCTAGTGTGACATTGGTTATTGCAAAGTTGAGCTGATTTTGGAGAAGTTGGGACAGTTCTGTGTTGTTGAAGGAGGTGGTATTTGACCCATAAATCTGGAAAGTTTTATTGAGGAGGGCCTGAGACAGAATTGGGTTCAAAGAACTTTGATTGGTCTGAAAAAAATAAAACAAATAGATAAATTAAATTAAAGACCACCAGGAAGTACGATACGGTACAAAATATTCTTACATTGATAAACACCTATCTACACATTGACAATGTGCACTTAGCTCTTACCCAAGTCCAGACAATACCCTTCTACTAAAGGCCATTACTATAGCAGGACATGTACCTACTGCCCAGGACCAGTGTGTTGCAGACATCATCTATGTACAAGTTCTAAAGGGACTCTTCAGACCCCATTCAAATTATAAATGTTATACAAGTTATGATGGGAATTTGCAGAATATCTATAGAACATTGGCAAAGCCGCTGAGGTCATGGCAACACCGGTTCTTAAATAGATAAAACTTCATAAGAAATTACACTCTAGCTAACTGCCTGACATGTTCAATGAGATGGCCAACACGGGTCTTTAATTTAAATTTGATATTTTTTGTTACAAACCAGCATTTGGCTAAGAAAAGGTATAACTTACCGCATTCAGGGAAGCATTGAGGTACATCAGGAAGCTGTACACATCAGTTTTATTCTGCAGCAATCCCACAATGACTCCAGAGACCATGGTGCTATTTACTAAACTTGGGTTCACGCTGACATTTGCTAGCTGAGGCAGGCTCAGGAAGGGTAAAACCTCCAACTACAGAACAGCGAGAGAAATTAAGCAATCAGTCAGTCACAAACGTTATATATACAAATATCTTCTAAACCACCACTCATTGAGGTGCAGACAAATAAAGGATGATATATATATATAAAAAAATATATAGCATGATAAAAATACTGCTCTATCCTTCCTATGCAGCTCTCGTGGTGCTTTCTGCACCTTTATGGTTGTAATTTCTAAAGGGGCAGGTGCAGCCCAAATATATATCCTTAGCTGTTGCAGAACTATGATTCCCATGATACTTAAAGGATCAATGCACTCTCTAAATAAAAAAAAATATATATAATAAAAGTCACTGTAAATATACCCCAATGAAAACATGAGTGGATTTAATTGTGCATTTTTTTTTAACATTTTCACTTTTCATTGTTGGTGCATCTAAAAACAGCTAGCAAAAGGTGCAGATCTCTTGCCTGCTGCCTTTGCAAGCCCTCCCCTTCTAGCCCCGCCCAGACTTTCTGTGGATGTCCAATCACAGACTTTCCAGAACAGATTAATGAGAAGTCTTTGCAAGGCAGGTGCTCTGTGTAATTGCTGCCTCTTGAGTTTAGCTCCACTGAGCTAACCAAACCAGGAGGTAACAGAACACGTTTGATTGACAGCTAGGGTTACAATGTTAATTTCTAAAGGTGTAAAAAGAATAATTTATTAAAGTGACAATTTCTATTGAAATCTGCACTTTTTTGTAAAATAAAAAAAAGAGGACACACTAATCCCACATAATTGCACTTTAGCAAGTTGAAGTGCTTTACGAGTCTGGAGTGTCTGTTTTAATCAAAACAAAGTATTGTGGCAGCAAACATTTGCACTCCTGCAGCAATGCAATACTATAACCCATCATGCCTTGCAGGTGTGTGCGGGTGGATGTAAAAATATAGAAAAATAAATAAAATACTTACAGCAGTAATATTAGCATTTAAAGCAAAAAAGTCATTAAAATCTGCCACCATAGAAAAATTTCCAATGTTCTGCATGATCCAAGCGCTACTGCTACCATTTACTGCACAGGCTGAGCCTAACGGAGCAAAGGAAACACACAGGGCGTTATTAACGGAACAGGTGTAAGTCTTCTTAACTGCAGTGTTCCTTTAAGAGAGTATATCTGTTTGATCATGCATATTACCTGTTATGTTTTTCCGATTAAGCAGGAAAGACTTGATGGCAGGATAGATTTCTTGCCTCTTTGAAGCTGGCATATTGTTATAATTTTGACCAAGACCTTGAACCCTGTTAAAGTAGTAATAAGATTTAGTTCTGCACCACTAACAACAATTGCAGGGTTTTCGCGAAGGTAAAAATTGTCTGAAATTTAAAAGGGAATTTGAAATTGAAATCGGCCAAAGTAGCTGAAGCAGCAACATGTTTCCATGTTATCTATGTTTTACCGTTTAAATATTTTAGCTTTAAATTTGGAATCCACTTTGAATTCCCAATATTTCTCACTTGAATTAACCCTGTAAGTGTTATTCACCGAATAGTGCATTTTAAGCTAAAACTAGTTGGGCTTAATTGGAAGTTTTACAGTTTTTTTCTTTAAGTTTAGAAACTTTTCCCTAGACTTTGCAATTCACTGGTCAATTCTCTGGAGTGTTTATTCTGCAAATGCCAAAACTGTAGGTATTTGAAAAGTTAACTGTAAAATATAAGCTGAAATATTCAAGCTGTGACTTTAGCGGAGATGCAGAATTTTTCTAAATCAGTTATTTTTGCCTCATTCACAATTCACAATGATGCTGCATTTATCTTGATCTACAAGTTTTTGCTGTCTTACTCAGCATGCCAATAAAGAACTTGGATAGTGACTAGCAAACAATTCCATCTGTGGTCATCTGTGATCTTTTGCGTGGACAATTATAGCCTGAATTCTAGTCCACAGTCTAAAGCTGGAAGCCTCCTTGTGTAATAGCAGAATTCCAAAATACATTCTAGACTAAAGCAACAACCTTATAGAGATATATCTGAATGCCATCTTGACCTGTACTTACAGTTTTTGGAACAGCTCGCATGTTGCATTCTGGGATTGGAGACATTCGATTATAGATGCATTGGCGAACGGAAGAAAAGGCTGACTTGGGCCAGAAATATTTTGGGTGTTTTTCAGGTCTTGCATTATCAGCGACTGGATGCCGTTCAATAAAAATGCCCTCCATTCTGGTTTCAAGCTTGTAGACTGATCAATAAATCAAACAAAATGTAGGGATGAATTAACAGGGTTTTGTCTCAGAAACAAAGTATATTACACGGATAAGCTTCATTTTCAAGCAATGTAAGGCACAAGTGATGGACACAATGTATCATGATTAAAGGAACACTCCTAGCACCATAACCACTATGGTGCACTGTAGTGGTTGTGGTGCCAGGAGTGCCCTGGCGCCCTTCCATAGAAAGTAGAGTTGACAACTTACACTGGTTTTGACAGACACCCGCAGCATCCTTCTATGAAGCTGGAACGTCCTGCTAGCACCACTGAGTTAAGCCCTGCAGGGCTGAGTTGGGCTGCAGGACTGTCTCATTGGCTGACAACTTTAGGTAAGAACGCTTACCCGATGAGCGCCTCCCGGCACCACTGGGGTTAGCTCAGAGCAGAACTTTCCAGCAGAAAAAGTGGCAGCAACAGGTGTCCATTGGACCCCAGGTAAAGTAGTTACACCATTCTTAAACAGTTTGACAACATTCTCTGGAGGGTACAAGGGCACTCCTGGCACTATAGCCACTACAATGGGTTGTAGTGGTTATGGTGCTTGAAGTGTTCCATTAAGTTGACAGTCCATAAACCTTCATGAAGATTGTCAAGCAGAGTTCCTTATCAAGAGAACAGCTTCTAAAATAATAGTATATTTATTGATCAGCTTTCTGATATTGTAATATACACATATATAAAAAATGTTTTTCTGTTTTTTAAATATCCACATTGGTTAAAATTTTAATTGCCAGATCGTAAGCATAGAAGACCAGGGCCCTCAGACTTTGTATTTTATTTTAAAATCTATGCAATATCAACGGTCATTACAGATACCAAGTGGATAAAACATGGCACTCCTGCCACTCTGTATATACCTAGACTATTCACCCCTTCCCCCCGCTTCCCCAAAAAACGCAATATCTACAACATCTACTGTCACTCTATAAAAATAAACACTAATTCTGAAATAAGAGAAACTCTTCATAATCCCTGGTGATCAAACAGCTATTTACATCTGGCTCACGTGATGTTTTTTTAAGGAGGACTTTACAAATAGCCTGCAGGACCAGCTTGTCTGAGAAGGGAAGGGCTTTGTGTCACAGAGGAATTTCCGATGTTAGAAAAACATCTGCCCTTTTAAAGTAATAAGAACAGGTATAACATGTTGATGGTCTGCTTTTCCCCTCCTATTTACAGTGTCAACAACCAAGTACGAGCTTCTAAATAAAGTAACCAACTACAAGAACCTTGCTGTCTTAGCGAGTGTACTTGGGGATATAGTTAAAACAGATACAAATAGAAAAGTCCTGCGCTCACTCCCATCACTCTTGGGCGGCAGCAACGACTATAGTACACATCAGCTAATACATATAGTAAAAACCAAAGAACAAAAAGTTACCTGCGCTCTCTCCTTAATACCTATCTATATATTTAGACAAATGGAGGTCATTTAGTTACTCCAATGGCCATTGGAGGGAATGCCCGCCTGCCAACGTCAAGGCAGATCCCCCTAGACGGGTCCTACTCAGAGCCTTTACCTTGCTTCCTTGAGCTTCTGGCAAAAATATCTCTAATGAGACAGAAAGGTGTATATAAAAAATACCCCTTCCTGTCTCATTAGAGATATTTTTGCCAGAAGCTCAAGGAAGCAAGGTAAAGACTCTGAGAAGGACCCATCTAGGGGGGTCTGCCTTGATGTTGGCAGGGGGTATTCCCTCCAGTAGCTATTGGAGTAACTAAATGACCTCCATCTACTGTCCCACCATGTGTTCTCCTACATCTACTGTCCCGCCAAGTGTTCTACATGTACTGTCCCATCAAGTTTTCTACATCTACTGTCCCACCAAGTGTTCTACATCTACTGTCCCGCCAAGTGTTCTACATGTACTGTCCCATCAAGTTTTCTACATCTACTGTCCCACCAAGTGTTCTACATCTATTGTCCCACCAAGTGTTCTACATGTACTGTCCCATCATGTTTTCTACATCTACTGTCCCACCAAGTGTTCTGCATGTACTGTCCCATCAAGTGTTCTCCTACATCTACTACCCCATCAATTGTTCTCCTACATATACTGTTCCGCCAAAGGGTTTATATATTAAATTGAGAATTCAAAGTGAATTCAAAGCAAATTTCAAATCTAAAGGACAACAGTCATCAAATTTGCACTTTTCAATTTTTAAAAGTTTGTAACATAATGAAAATTAATGATTTTTTTAAAATAAGTTATATTGATTTTTTTGAAACTATTTCACTTTTTTTTATTTGGCTGAGCAGCCATGTTGGATCAGACTCTGCTGTTATCTGACCAACTGATGCTCAACGTAACTTGTTTGCAGCTGCAGGTTCACACAGAGCTGTCACAACAGCAGGAAAGTTAGCTTGAGCGGGAACTGGTGAGATAACAGTAGAGTCTAACCCAAATATATCAACTGATGTTGGTTCTTGATGGTTTAGACCAATGAAGACTGGCCAGTAGGAGCAGGTGAGGTGGCACCCCCTTCAGTTTTTCTTGAAAAAAGAAAAAATGTAGCATTATAAAATGACTAAAAAGTATGTGTTAGAAAAAACATGTGTCTGTCTTAAATATATATGCAGTCTTTATTTCCCCCTTTATTAATGACTGGGGATGCAGCTGGTTTTGTACAGGCCATGGTATCTAATGGGGTTAAATGGGAAGAGCTCAGCGAGTCAAGGGGACAGCACGTCACCCTCTTTAAACTTTACCAGCTGCCACTAAGTTTGACAAAAAGGTTTTCCATCGACTGGTTGAATGGACCTCTCAATCTTGCCGAAAAAGCTTACTGAATGAAGGTTCTAACAATGAAGCAATTAAAGTTCTAATCTCTTTATAACTAAGGATTCCTATTTTTCTACCACTCATCACTTCTGCTCTACTGAAGCCTATCTGCATCTTCTCTTGACTTCTGTTCTACTGAATTCCTCCATCCAAAGACAGGCATAAATAGAAAAGGATGATAACAAACATTATACAGTCATTGTGTAATCAAGTTACAAAAGATATCGTGATGAAACCAGATCCTCCCTTTGTATGGTATTTAAGTGACGGAGAGAAAACAGGTTTGTTTGCTACAACAATAACAGGAAAAAAAGACTTTGATTCTTCAACCAGAGTCTTTATCACTCAATGATGACGTTATTGCAAAAGGTGCAGAGGTCTATAATATATATATGGTAGTTTCTAAAACTTGACATTAGTGCGTCAAATGAACTTTTCTGCAGATAACAGGTAATACTTTGAATTAATGCTTTCATATGGGGAAGCTTAGATGAGTGCATGGCAGTCACCGTGCATGTTCATTAGGTCCCCAATGCTGCTCTTTGAAGGGTATTGGATTGGACCACTGGTGGAGGAAGTCATGCCTCCTCCGTGACATTGCAGGAGTAGGAGAGGTGAGCAGTATTGAGGGAGCCTTGATGCTGGAAAAAAGTTAATAAAACCCTATATTTTACTAATTATTATTGAAAAAAAAAAGGGATGACCTCCATAACTAGGGATAGGGACATACATACGTTTTTTATTTTTCAGTTGAAGAACAATTTAACATATTTTCCTCCATGTTTGAACAAAACCATGAAGCATACAGCTGCCAGTATCGTCACTGCCGTTTAGCAAAAACAGAAGCTACCGATCATCTAGAAAGGAATAATTTCCCTGAGAAATGATATCACGCTTATTGACAGTGCATTAATATAGTTCCCTCTTAACAATACGAGAACATAACTCTTGATCTAAGGTAAATGTATCCAACTGAAAATATAATGAGATTGCACAAATGTTCCCTCTTTTCCTTTATATCTGCTATTACGGATACA